GTACAGAGACAGACACCCGAACAGACAACAGACACCCATACAGAGAGACAGACACCCGTACAGAGAGACAGACACCCGTACAGAGACAGACACCCGTACAGAGACACAGACACCCGAACAGAGACACAGACGGCCGAACAGAGAGACAGACACCCGAACAGAGACACAGACACCCAAACAGAAACACACACCTGCACTGACACAGACACCCACATAGAGACACAGACACAGACACACGTGGCACGGAGGGATCTGGCCGCATCAAGACACAGGGAAGGCAAGGGCCTGACCCCCCACACTGGCAGTCCCCATCCTCGCTCCTTGCCATCCCTCCTGGGCTAGAGGAGTGGCTGGGAGTATGTTCTGTGCCTCAAGGACGCAGATCCGAGTGCTCAGGAAGGAGATGGACCCAGCTCCATCCTGGGGCCCCCCTGCTGGTGGAGGGACCTGGGCAGGTTTCCACCTCTCTGAGCCTCAGTTTCTCCCCTGTAGGAGGTCACACTGCGGACTCACACTGTGGACACCAGAGAGCACAGAATGAGAGCACCAGGCCAGCCCAGCTGGAGGGAGCTCAGCGTGGTGCCATCCTGTTCATCTGAGCCACCCCTCCTGACTGCTGCTCAGCAAACGCACTTGGCTGCAACCCTGGCCTTTGGCCCCCGACCCCTCCTTCCAGCCGCCTGACCTTTCAGGGAGAAGAGCTCTGCGATCACAACAGGAATCTGGCCTGGGAGGAGGCAGAGGCCTCTGGAAAATACACACCATGGGCAGCCAGACACGAGGGTGAAGGCCCTGAAATGAACTCCAGGCTCCAGGGTATTCTGGACCCCTGGCAATGCAGAAATGACGGTAGCATTTAATCTGTCTGGTTCTCTGGGACAAGCAGCTCACTGCCAGGCAGCCCTGCTGGCCACAGGGCCAGCAAGGGGTGCAGCCCAGGGTCCCCACAGGCAGGCCGAGGACAGCTCTGAGCCTGGAGGGGCAGAAACTGGGATGACGGGCTGGGGTTGACAAAGGTCCCCTAGCCCAGGGCATGGACAACAAAACCGACATGCTCTGCCCCACACGAGCTGGCTCGTCTGCCTGGGAGGCAGAGCAGCGTCCTTGCCACACTGTCCTTGCCACACTGTCCTTGCCTTTCGACCCCAGAAGTGCCGTTTCCTACAGTGTGAGCCCCAGCTGGTGGAGCAGGGTGGCCCGAGGCACCACTGCTCACAGCTGCACAAGTGGGCTGTACTGAGTAGTAGGTCGGGGGGCCACAAAGCTGAGCCGCAACGGGAGGGCAAGGCCAGGTCAGGCGCGACGCACCCACGGAGGTGGCGAAATGCAGCAGATTGCTGCTGGCTCTGCCTCACCAGAGAGGAGAGCACAGACGTAGGCCTGGCTCAACGCCGACGAACACAGCCAACTAGTCACAGTGAGCTCGAAAGCCCACACAGAGGAGTGGTGGGCTGGGCCTCGCATCGCAAAGTCTTTGGGGACACACAAACCGGGGACACACAAGCGGGCAGGGCAGAGTGCAGGAGCGCCGGGAAGGACCATGCAGCTGCCTGGTGGAAGCCCGTGTCACACACACCTTGGGGCAGATCACAGGGAAGCAAGGAGTCGGGCATGCTGCCGTGGGACTCACTCGTAGAAGTGGGCCTTGGAGATGGACAGGAAGCTGCAGTCCCTGTTGGCCTTGATGGTGAAGAGGAGAGGCTCGCCCGTGAGCACGGCCAGCTGGCCCACCATCTCCCCAGGGTGCGTGAGGAACAGGCAGGTGTCCTCCCGGCTGTCAGTCTCCCGCTGGTACACATGCAGCAGCCCCGAGACCACAAAGAGGATGCTGACGTCCTGACAAAAGCAGAGAGGCTCTGGCTCAATGGCAGCAGTGTGACCCACAGCCCAGGGAGACGCTCCGGCAGCTGGGAGTGGGACTGGGTGGGCAGCCTGGGACGTCCTGTGGACCAAGGCCCAGGGAAGCTACTTGGCCTTGGCACATGCACGACAGCAATGGGCCTTGTCGGGCCAGGCCCCGCGCCGCCACACACAAGGCAAGCAACAAGCTCCTCCTCTGCACAGTCGGTAGACCTAACCAGCCCTGGGCACAGGCACATTTCAGCACTGTGTGTAGTTTTATTATTTAATCATTAGTCACAGGAAATGTGGGGAGCTCCCTGCAGCGAGCACTGCTCAGATACACGCATCTTCCCTCCCAGCATCCTGGCGTCTACTTGTTCCACACAAATATGTGTTGGTCAGTCCAATACTCCCTCGGAAGCAAAGACACTTCCTCTCCCTTAAACACCTGTGGTGGGTCCCACGCTGGCAGGCCTGGAGCCAGGCCTCTGAGGGCGCCTCCTCTTGCCCTGGGTGGGGGCCGACACCTGGCCACCCGGCACACATCACATACATTTTGGTGCGACGTCTATAAATGTGCCCCGCAAAACCACTCAGGCAAACCCCAGCTTGTGTCCAGTGCATGACCTCTTCCCAAATCTGCACACCTATCAGGTGTGCACAGAAAGGGTCTAGTACTGCAGGAACAAGACTCCCAGGGCTCAGGGCAGCCTGAGGGCTGGGGCTGTGCCTCGGTGCCCAGCAAGCAGGGCGGGAGGCCCCCAGTGAGACAGCCTCTGCAGCACCCACCGTCCAGCTCTGCCCCGCGCTGTGCTGCCGCATGAGCAAGCCCCGTGGCCACACCCTCAGGGCAGGGGCACTTCGCTCACCTGGTCTCCCTGTTTAGACACTACAGTGCCAGCAGGGACATGGAGAAGTGCCACCCGGCCATCCAACAAGGACGGGTCCTACAAGACAGAACTGGTTTCAGGAGAGGAAACATGAAGAGACAAGCTAAGTGAAGGCACAAGGAACGAGGCCACCTGGACTAAGGAGAGGCCGAGTGAGGCAGGCCAGAGGCTGCAGCGACTCTCTGAGGACGCCACCAGGGACTCCGCAAAGTGGTGGTATTAGCACAGAAACAGACAACAAGTTCAGTGGAATATAACCAAAAATGCAGGAGTAGACAGAACATTTTTGTGAATTTATGTAAAAGACAGAAGATTTCATTTCAGTGAGAAATGGTGATTTATTTAATAAATGGTGCCAGCATAATTCATTGGAAAACTATCAGTGAGACGCCCTTTTTCACGCTACCTACAAAAACTAGGCTCCACGACGACACAGTCAGGTTAAGCCTGGAGCCTCGGCAGCTCTGGAGGACGGCTGGGAAGTGCCCAACACGTCCAGGAGCTGCACGGGGAGCCCAAGCGAGCACCTGTGAGAATCACACCTGCAAAGGGTTACAATCACCAAAATGTTTAAATTCGCAGTTCACAGTGATAATGAAACAAACACAAAAAGAAAATCATTGGTCACCTTTGTAAGATGATAAATAACTAAATCCTTAAACTTCCCAAATCCTGATGATGAAGGGATCTAAGCCCTGGGCATCAAAGGCTGCTGACATCTCCCCACAGGAAGAAGCGACATCACACGCCTCCTGACGAGACCCGGTTTTGCCAGGATGGAGCTGGGGGCGGTAGAGAAGGAGGAGGAGAATCTGGCGTGGCCCCTGTGTCCACTGCCAGGCCACGGGACACAGCCACCGACCTGGAGCAGCAGGTGCAACTGCCCCACGGCGGAGCTGTCCGCCCCACCCAGACCGCGGGAAGCTCTGTGGGAGGGGAGACCAGCCTCCTCAACAAAAGAAGAGGCAGGAAAAACAAATGGAGGCACCTTCAGGGAAGATGTGAAGGACACCTCTGCTGGCCTGGCAAGGACCATAGTCACGACTGAGGAGACTGCTAGAAAGTCAGGTATAAGTGGCAGCTGAAGACAGTAAGGATCGCTGTTAAGTTGCCAGGAGTGATAATGGTGATGTGGTTATGTTTACAAAT